ACCCATCCCCAGACATGATGTCGAGGACCATGATATTCAAAGCTCATCTGAAGAGGATGATGAAGAAGAGAGTGAAGATTCAGAGAGTGAGAGTGATAGCAGCGACTACGACTCTGAGAACGAAAGGTTAAGGGAAGATGATGATGAAGATGAATTTGGAATATCCACCCAACTATCTTCAGCGTGTCGTAACTCGGTAGAGTCACATGTTCCCTGTTCTTCTCACCTCAACGTTTACCAAGGCCATTGCAATGTGAAGACTGTTAAGGACGTGAACTATTTCGGTTTGGACGATGAATATGTTGTGAGTGGAAGCGATGACGGAAACGTTTTCATATGGGATCGAAAGACATCGGATCTACTCAACATCCTCAACGGGGATAGTGATGTAGTCAATGTGGTCCAAGGTACGAGAGAATCATTGCGACAGGAGTAAGGCTTTGGGATTGCTGCATATGATAACTAAAAATACATTTAGGTCATCCATACGAACCCCTTCTCGCTGTGTCGGGAATTGACCAGACGATTAAAATATTCTCGCCCGATAATCGAGCACAAGACGATGCTAGCAATGGCATCAACATTGCCGACCCTGATGCCCAATCCGATCTAACTGTGGGTGTCGAGAGTGCGTTAGACCAGACAAATATGAGAAGCCCCGGACTTGCAAGTAGAAAACGCTTGCATGACAGCTACCAGATTCTAAGCCGGAATGATGTGGACCGCCAAGGGGGGATGAATGAGGCCTTTCTTACGGTACGTTTATTGCAACCCTTGACTATACTTCGAAGAGGACTATCATTCGCCGAGTGGGCGGCGTTGTTCTAAAACAAAGGCCTATCGTGCCACTTGACGCTACCACCCCACATGTGCTCGTACTTTGCACGTTGATCTTGAAAGTAGCTCCGATACTCATGACGAATTTTCATAAAATTTAGAGAAGCATGCTCGCCCGTGTAGCGGCAACGCTTAGGGACAGACATAATGTTAGGCTTGGATTTGCCGGCGCTCACACTGGGGGAGACGAGCATCAGATTGTGCTAGATGAGAACTGTTCTGTAAGTCAACCTTGCCTAGATGGCATCGCATTCACAGTTACTAATTGCTTGTGTCCATATAAATAGGTTATGTGATTAGCCACTCAAATGTCTCCCCAGGCAGCTACCAATTATCCTTAGCAATTCGAAATATATTTTATTCTCTGACCTTTTTCTATACCCGTCCTCGCTGCCTTTTCCGATGTTATGGGAATGTGCATCGAACCGGCATCGGGTATACTTTACTTCTGCCGTTTGCATGCACTGGAGCTAGTTGCATAACTGTTCAAGAATATTATTAGGAATCATTTGATAACTTGCAGCCAGCCATCTAGGCCAATAACCACCTAAGGCACTTATTAAGGAGCTGGCTTTCTTATGTCAATGCTTCTCATGGGCTATCTCTTAACAGAGCTTAAGATGTCTAAAGCAGCGCAGGTGATGAAAGTGATCTCTAACAATCGCATGGGTCAACTCACCCCCTACGATCTGATCTCCAGGAGGGCCAGGTCAATCACGTGACCAGTTAATTTTTCCTCCATGGTGGCCACCGTAAGGTGATATGCAAGCCTCCAACTACAGACCCCGTCGGTTCGCCCATATATCGTGTCATCTTCTAGCCAAAAGCTGTTGATGCGTATTTCTGTGCCTCCCAAAACTACCCATGATATTCCCTTTTTTTTTTTTCGATATTTATCCCTTACCCCACCAGGAAACCTGTTCTAAGGAATAGTATAGCATGTCTCTACAGAAAAATGAGACATGTGAGCCAGATTTATTGAAAAGGCGTCGAGAATGCTCTTTCATGATTCGCATTGATCCCTATAATCCGATTCGACATTTTCAACGTGGCTTAACCTACCAGGCGCTTGGATTTCCCGACTTAGCTGCTGCTGATGCCTACCGCGCCCTTACCTTATTCGATTCCGTAATCGACCCCGATACAAGCGAATATCCGGCTCGAAAACGAGTTGATTTGGAATCCTTTTCAGACTTGAGCTCGCTTGAGGTTTCGGATGGGAGTGGAGGTAATACTGAGGATTATGGAAACTGCCTCGATGTTGAAAGCCCCGCGTTCGAACCCCTTTCGGATAAGGAATATACCGAGCATATCTTTGAAGTTTACGAATTATTGGTGAAATCTCTTGCCCAATGCGGGTGTTTGAGGGATGCCTATGACATGTGTGTGCAGGCTATGAACTTACCTACAGACGGGGTTAAAGGGAAAGTGCGAAACACAGAGCTACCGTTGTTACTCAACAAAATCAAAGAAGCCGCCATTTCTACTAACGTGAATTCAACCGGCTTTGATCCTATGACTCTTCCTGCTCAAGGTCACGCTAGGCGATCATTATACCCATGGAACACTCACGAACCGGATCGAAACAAACCAGAGATTGTAAGATATCTGAATGAACGGCTGGCCCGGGTAGCACCCAAATGCGAAGTTCGCACAACAACTTTACCATCTTTGCACGAGAGTGTTGTGAATGGAAATTTACGCGAAGACATCACTTTTGAAGGTGGTAACGTTTCTATCCAACTTGGCTTATTTGCGAAAGAAGACATTGCTCCAGGCGAGATACTATTGCATGAATCATCAATGTTGACAGCGACAAATCGACTGCATGATGATATATGCGATGCTTGTAATGGTCGCTTACCAGAACTCTCATCCCCTGAACCACCTGTTGCTTGCGAAGATTGCCATGATACTATATTCTGCAGTCAAACGTGCCATGATCTAGCCCAGGAACTCTACCACACTGCAATGTGTGGGCAAGATGGGCTAGAGTCTATAGGCAAAGATGTCCCGGATCCAAAAGATAAAGCTGATTATCTGTACCTTTTACTGCTCGAGCGTTCTATTGCAATGGCAGCCACTCAAGATATCCACCCTCTTGACCTCCCAGAAGTCAAATACATATGGGGTGACTTTTCCTCTTTGGATGGCAAAGGAGATGATATTTTTGATACAACTTTCACTAAAAGACCAGCATCCGCTACATTACCGTTTTCTTTTCAGCTTAATATCGTCCAGCCTATGCGTATTCTGGATGAGATGGGGATTGATCCATTCAAATCATTAGATCGGTACGACACTTGGGTCTTGAATACCCTGTATGCCAAATTTCGCGGAACTGCATCTGGTCGTCTATCTACATGGGATGGCGGTCCTGAAGTTTGTGCTGTACATCCTCTGTGGTGTCTAGCAAATCATAGCTGCGATCCAAATGTTCGATGGGAATGGGGTGGCGAGATCACTTTTACTGCTAGAACCGATGAGGGGAGGGTCAAGTGGGGTCCAGAATCCAGGTCTAGCAAGGGAGGTATCTCGAAAGGCGAAGAAATTCTAAATCACTATTGCGATGTTAGCCTTCCTGTTAAGAAAAGACGCGAATGGGCCATGGGCGCGTTGGGAGGAGCTTGTCTATGTGAACGCTGTATCTGGGAAGCTGCACAAACTTAGGCCCATGCATCTAGATTAGACTAAATTACCAACAGTCATCCATTTGAACTTGTCATTTGCACCAAGATACTGTTACCAGGCCTTCATATGTTCTATAATCTATGACACCCACTCGCCGCATTGATGTTGTTCAGAGGAAACCAAGGCTACAAACTGCTTTAAGAATTCCAACAGAGCAAACTAGATTTTTATTTCTAAGGTTTGGCTATATAATTGCATTGCGCCCTGTTTTATAACTCCTCCATTGCTCCTGTATCCTCTCAGTCCCCTATGTTTCCTTGGTTCCATTCTAGTTGTGGGCAACGTTTACGTTGATATGGCCGCCGTCAGAAAAGGAGATGATGTCACCGTTTCCAACACACTCGGTGTATCCGTGGTTGTAGCAGCAGTCAATGATTTCTTGGATTTTGTTGGCGACAGTAGTAGCATCGGTATAGCTGTTTACTGAGGGATGATCACCGGTACGGCGTAGTGTCAGTTTGGCGCTTCCATAGGTTGCAAATGTAGAGCCGCTTCTTCCAGAGACATGGTATTGCCCGCCGTATGCCTGAACAGCACCCTTAAGTCCAACGATATGGTCTCCCTTGGTGCCTTTCTGGTAAACACAGCTAACGTTGCTGGCAAAGGCAGTGGAGGCGTAGACCGTACTTATGATGGTCGCAGCGGTGAATTTCATTTTGTCGGTTGTTAGTTTCGGGAGTTCTATGCGATGATTAGAATATGTGAAAAGATTTTGCTTCAGGGGATGAGGTGGCTGTTCGTACATAGTGCGTATTCGGATATGGAGGTTGGTCTTTTTTACCCAAGCTGAAGATAATGATGAGAAAGAAGCTGCCAGATGAGGGTCCCGAATCTCTGCTTTTATAGACATCCCTGGGATACACCAACAACTATTGCACACTGAGAGGACTGGTGTAAGGTTGCCAGTTAACGAATAAGCTATAACAAATGGCTAGCAGGCGGACTAACTACTCCGACCCTGGCAAGCCATGATTTAATCTTAATCCACCGAGACTCACTCGAGCGTTTGCTGGTTCACTATGGCGTCTTCCGTTTTTACTCCCTTGATAGACAAACCTTATATTTGTGGAGACAACAGGATCAAGCTTTGCAGGTCCGTGCCAAATCTAATGAGCTTAACTCGACCGCTTATTGGAAGAACTACCCATCAACCTGCAAGGGTCGGGGCAAACCCCCGACAACAGTTGCAGCGAGGATGACATATATCACTTCTCCTACACAAAGAAAAGCTTCTTCACTTTGAAAGGGAGTCCAGCTCTATTCATTTGATAGTATATTCATTAGGCAAGAGGTAATGAATGAAGCGTTGTGAATACACATGTCCTCAGCCTAGTGGTTTATTCACTTCTAATCTATTCACTATTCATTAAGACAGCTATATATAACTAGCTGACTGCATCGCCGAGAATTCTAAACCTAGACACAACTAACAACCAATAACTAACCTTGAGTTGATACCGACAGCGACCAGAATGACCCGCCCACCTTCTCTTGGGGCTATGCCTCTAGATATTCTATGCATGGTCTGTGACTGCCTTGTGGACTGTGACCCAAGCAAGAAAAGCTTGTTTTCATTCTCTTTGACAAGCAAATGGTGCAATATTGCAGCAACGAGACAGAGGTTTAGGCGCGTCCCAATCTCCTTAGAAAGCAAGGAGAAACTAGCCGAGGACATGGAGCGATGGAGCCACATTCTAACCCCTCGTGGGTACATTGACTATGTGCAGGTCGTGAAGATAACCGGAAGTATCCATATTCGGGATATGAATTCTAACAGTGGAGAATGGCCACTCGGAGACATGAGCCTTGGGTACCATGAAGCAGACGATGAAAATGACGATGACGAGTGGGCCGCAGGTTATGATGACCAGAGCGACAGCGATTCAACATGGGAATATGGCGATAGGAAGGTCTTCTCTGATGTTGGTGAAAATCCATACTTGACAAATGAAGAGAGGCAGGCCCAGGAGGTTGCCTGGAGCCCCCTTGTACACTTCATCAAGAGCCTGTCAAGCCTCAAAGACTTTATTTACGCCTCCGAAGACCAAATTCCGCTCTGCGTACTGTTAGCACTACACCAGCGTCACCAAAGGAGCCGCCTTCACATGCACCACTTTATCCTCCACAGCCTCTTTCAGCCGGCTGACTATCCCCAGGATATAAGCCTAGAGGAATATACCCTTGCGACATCTCCATGCTTATATAGCATACGCGCACATCAGTCAGATTACGATATCCAGGGAAGAGTTTGTTATAACTCTGAAGCAATTCAACAAATGGTGGCTGGTTTAGCACCAAACTTGAGACATGTGTCCATGGCAGTTCCGAGCACTTTCATAAATATACAACGCAACCCGAAGCCAGCATGGCGTGGCTTTTTTATCAATAATCCACCAGAGCAAAATACCCCCAGGCCACTTGGACAGCTCCGGAGTCTATCCTTCAAATTCATAGAGAGCTTAACCCCTTCCACACTCCGCAAGTGGACTCGCTACACGGATTTCTCCAAGCTGCAAACCCTTCGAATAATGAGCGATGATGGTGTTGACATAGTCAGAATCCTTGATCAAATGGCAATGGAGGGGAAGTTTAGTTCCCTTCGCTCTCTCAACCTAAAATTATTTCTTTCCACTTTCGCAGACACCATAATCTTTGACAGGATTATGGCTGATTTTCTACGAAACCTGCCTCCCCTCAAGGAATTGAAATTGACTGGCTTTGTCACTGAACAGACGTTCAACGTTATCCTTGAAAAACATGGTAATACCCTGATTAAACTGGATTTCATTGCGTCTCGCGGATTTATGACAGGAGCGAGTTTATTTGTCCTCTACAATAGTGAGGTTCGAGAGATTCAGAGGCAATGCCCGAAGCTCCAGACGCTTGGCATTCTCATACCCCGTACCAACGGTAATAAGGACGAAGTAGATATCTACCAGACTTTGGGCATGTTTAAATGGTTGAAGCAATTAATCCTGAGGCTTGATTTTTCTAGCGTCATCCACTACAGGCATTCCTCGTCTATTGACCCCGGCATCGATAGCCTACGTATTAGTTCCAATGCAGTAGCAACCTTGGATCAGATGCGTGAAACGTTTAAAAACTGCGCCATTGACGCAAACCTCGCGCTTTCCATATTCCGGATGATAGCTACTGCCAACGGACTCAGATACCCTTCTAAATCCCCTTCGCTACAATACCTCAAACTTCAACCTTGGGGACATGGAGAATTCGGAAGTGGAGTATTCAACGGAGAACTTGGTGACATCACAAGATGGCTTGGTAGGTCTTGGCTCTGTACGAGGCCACAGGAGGATATGAATTTCGAGAAAGTGGTTATAAGAGAGGTTGACAAGAAATGGCGGATGCTTTTTGAGCCCAGGATCGAGGATATTTTTGCGTGGGGGAAGCACTTCTTTGAGCAATCTGCACAAGCTCGGTTTTATCAAAAGGTCTGGAAAAGTACCTGGCCGGGGCATGCAGATGGAAGGAAATGGACGGATGATTGGTCAAGTTGTCCGCTGCTGGAGGAATAGGTCCGCAACCAAGCGTTAACATTAAACACACCCTTTTCGAGGCTTTTCAATCGTTCCCCGCTTCCCATACTTTTTACTCTTCTTACTTTTTTTCAGAAGCAAGTGATACAAAGGACAACCAAAGTCTCATGTATACCTTTTAATAGTGTTTATTAGTCATAGTCATCATCATCATCATCATCATCAAGAAGCATGGAAACATAGAAAAGGAAATGCATTGATGCTGGCTTTGAACCTCCCAAAATTATTTTGCGTGTAAAAGTAGTTCTTCATAAAGCTCCGCAGGAATTTTTTGTACAATTAAAACGGTCAGAGCGATTGTTTCTTTTGCATCGATAGGCGGGAATGACCGGAGGATTTTGTTTGGACTACGTAAGAGTTAGGAAATGTACCCAGAATTAGAGTATTAGAGGCATAAGATATTTACCTCTGACTTGCCAAGATAATATCCCTCATCCGTATTAATTGTGCAACAATGCATAATATATTCAAATGCGGTCCGTAGGCGAAAAGAAAATCCCAAAGATGCAAAACCTCTGGTAGTGGGGGTGTACAAGCACACAGCGTAAGTACCGATGGGAATGCGTATAATTCGGCATGCATTCCCTTACTGAATAAGTGATTGGCTAACTTTGGCTCAACAACTTCTAGGCAACGATCCACTAACTTGACTCCTTTATGGACTCCGTCCATGGTACTTTTGGCATACCCGGGACATTCACGGGTGATAAAGTGGTGGAACAGCGCGAACGCTTCCACTTCGCTTCGTGATGCATAAAGGAACGGTGCGCATAAGACATTCATCCCCTGCACATATATTGCAGCGGAATCCGATGGGTTCGGACTTTGGCCATCAATAGCGGCAGCATGACCATCGGGGAGGAAGACGGATGAAGTTCTTCTCGAGTTTGACTGCTGCGAAGGAGAAAGCTGGCGCGAAGAAGTTCCTGTTTTGGAGTCATGTATCTTCCATGCCACGGCATTGAGAAGTCGTATAAGACTTGCTTCGGTAACTCTCCGTTTAAATAATGGATCAGTGGCTAGGGTTCGGAATGTGTCATTACGGATCTTGGTATATGCCGGTGACCGACCCCGGTGGACAAGGGAGAGGTATTCGTCTGTTGGGAGAGGAGGTATATCGAGGAGGGCGAGCCAAACGTATATACGGTGAGTTGACTTCAATCATGGAACATTAGCACAGTGACCCTACGCCCTCTTAGGATGAGTGATTTCGCTTACCATCCCATCGTTATCCGCATCGACTCTTGTGGACAGAATCAGGTACCGCAACTCTTCAAGCCCAATCGCAATATTGTTATTCGGAGGGCCCTCTCTCAAGAGATTTTCAAGGCCAGAACGCCTAGTGAGATAGCCAATGGACCCTGATTTTCGATTGACACTGGGTCGTTTGCGTGGTTGCGCAGCTCCAGGCGCAGCTCCAGTAACATCGCTATTAGACCTCCCACGGCCATGAGTTGTTGCAGGTGTCGTTGCGGCAGTTACTGGCTGCTCCGACGTCTGCTGTGCCGATGCCTCTCGGGTGTTAATGCTCGTTGTATTTCGGAAGATCGGAGGTCGGGAGCCTACGGCCGGGCTACTCGAATGTGTCGATAGTGTCTGGTGTGATTGGAATCTGCGTAATGTTCTAGTGGGTTGAGGTGGCTGCAGTCCGCCTGATACTGCGGGGACGCGAGGTTGGGATGGTTGAGGCATCCTGTCAGAAACGGCAGACCCCGTTACCAGGGCCGTGTAGTAGGCGCCAGATAATGCCCTTGGAGCACGTATATGTGAGTGGCTTTCAATAACTAGACGGCGATATGCAAAGGGCTGGCTGGCATGCAAGTCATGGATTTTTTTTTCCCTTTACCCCTGCCCTGAAAACCGAAAACCAGCCTCATCGCGACTATTTTTGCCCAGCGCGTCGGGCGATCCAGCCAACTTTCTGGGGGTCGCTTCCAAGGTTCCAGTTTATAGTGGTCACGTGGTGATGTTAGAGAAGATTTAGGTGGTCTTGGCACTATTCAAGCTTATTTAGAGTTTAAAAGGGGTGTGTCGGCGCGCAGTTAAGACCAAGGGGGGGAAAACGACGACAGAGCAGGGGGCCGCCGATAACAGGAGCGGATAGTTGATGATCTATACAGGGTGAAGAAGTTTTAGATATGAACACGGCCGCGAGCCGGTTTGTGGTATCAGGTACGCCATGAAAACAGCGCAAGACATAGTATAGTGGTTTGGTCATTATATTATTCACAACTATAAACATTAAAAGCGACGCTACCCAGCTGCCGATGCAATTAATACTATCACGTTATGGTAATCCACGGATGATATTCAGCTTTCCTTCGATTTTGATTTGTCTGCCTTTGGGTCTCCCGGGCCACCAGTTAAACTTCCAACAAACTCCTCATACCTGAACACTTCGGCTCGACTTCTCGACCCCGTAAGAGAGGAAGTTTTCCCTTTATTACCAAATGCGCGTCTGCCGGTGAATCCCTGTATGACTTCGTTTATTTCGCTCTCTGTCAACGGTCTCTCGTCTCCTTCGGGGCTGGTGTGGAGTAAAGCATCTCGAAGCTCTGCCAGGTCAATCTGACCACTGTCATCTTCGTCAAATGCTGCAAAGGCGTTAAGGAGCTCTTGAGAAGACGATAGTGGTGCTAGATGGGTAGCGATCTGGTTTAAGTAGGTTGGAAGGTTGATGGATCGCGGGCCGTTTGGCGGAAAGTATGCGCCTGTTGCCAAAGAAGACGAATCTTCGCCTAAACAAGCATGAGTCAGCAAGACAAAATAGCCCGGGGATAGATCAAATGTCAAAAAGTTGACCAACTAACCAAGGTTGTTTAAAGCATCGGCTACATCTTCCCTGTTTACTTGGCCATCGTTATCACGATCTAGTACCTGGAAAGCCTCACGCATCTCCCGCAGCTGTGCCGGAGGTATCTTGCTCAGCAGATCGTTGTTTTTTGGCGACCTTTCAGGTGTTTGGGGCCTTCCCATAGCTGAAAACCGATCTTGAGCATTGGCTCCTTTTGTAGGTGAAAGTTGCGGTGATCTGGGGCCAGGGGAGGATCGTAGTCCGTTGCTACCGTTCGTAAATACATCTCCATTCTCTCTTTCTAGTGCTTGGAAATGGCTCAATTTGCTCGGGGAATGTGTCGGGGTGGTTCCTCTGCTACTCGGGCTTCCGGGTATATTTGGCCGAATCACGGGTCCGGGTGATGAAGGGGGCGGTGAAGAGACAAACGACTGGCGCCGGAAGGGAGAGGAACGGGGGGATCCGAAGGAGAGAGGCGACGGCTTATATGGCGTTGTGTTTGGCGTACCCTACAGTCGTTGTCAGTATGTAATGAATGACTTGGACTATGAGCACCAAATTAAGCCTACCATTCTTCCTTTCTGCTTTGACTAGGAGCAATTATTAACAATGATGGGGTGGGTAATCGAATAGTGGCCGTATAGTTATTGGTGCAGTGGTCGTCTCAATTCTTGTTGCTTGCGGTTCGCTTCCTTCAATGTTATCTTGCCTTTGATAAGCCCAAGTCATGATGCACTATCCGAGAGCCCAAAGCGGAAATCAACAAACATTGGACCGGATAAATAATTTCCCCTTGTCCGGGCGCAAAAATATTATTCCGGTCCACGTTTATCTTAGTCATCAACACCATGTGAAGGCGCCAGGTCAGCCAATCCCAACCCTGCCTGCTGTTCGCCTCGATAGCCGCGAGTGCAAAAGAAACCAAGAAAAGGGACCCTCTGCTTGTGGATGGCGCATCGCATGGAGAGAGAGAGAGAAAGCTGTTCCTGGGGCGTCCCTAAATGTTCCTTGATCCACGCATGCTTCTGATGGATTGATAGCCAACACTCGATAAGCGCATTGCGTCAATAGCGAGGTATGTTGAAATACGTTGACTTATGCGCCCAAGGTGACTGCCATGAGATTAACCATCTTGCTCTACTGTAGAATGCAATTTCTCATTTCTGCCCCTTTAATCCTCTGATTATACCACCAATATTCAATCATGGCGAACTCCTTGGCCAGACGGCCCTCCACCAACGGCTCTTCTCACGACCGAGGCACCTCATTCACCTCCATCCCCCCCTCATCTATATCCCCGCATCAGTCCGTTTCCATTGGACCAAGGAAGAACCGATCGCAGACGTCTCTCAGCCACAAATCAATTGGAAGCTCTGGGGAATCCTCACAGCGGCGATCTGTACATTCCTATGGCAGCTTTCAGGCACAGAAACGGAGGTACAAGTCGCAGTACCCCGCTGACTCTCCAGAACCGCATGTCGAGTACATTCTCGTTGCCTCATTTGATGTAGACCGGGGGCCTATTATGGAGCATCAGTATCCTAGTGCCATTAGTGGCGATGAGAGCATGCTGGCAGAGCTCATGTTACCTGATCAAACACACGTTCGCAGCCAGGATTGGACGATCTTCTTTTTGCACAAGGATAATGGTGGGCCTGAAGAAGACCCTGAATTTGGGGAAGATAAGGATGGGGATGACGAGCAAGACGAAGAAAAAAATCAAGATGACCTATCTCAGGAGTATCCGGAGGAAGATGATGCCGGGAGTGCGGGCATGGATGATGAACCACCCCTGATGTACGTCCTTAATCTTGTGAATACAAAACAGGACACATCAGTTAAACGGTATTGTCAACCACATTATGCGTTTTACCTATGAGTTGATATACTGACAGACACAGTGGCGCAATGGTTAAAGCAATGGCAATATGCACAAGGCACTCCTTTCTGCATATATACAAGGTTCGTTCTCCCCAGTTGGCTACAGTCGGGCCTCCACTAACGAATTCCCATAGCCACTGCTACTCCTTGCCTTAGAAGATTATTTCAAACACCCATTCCCGGAAACTCTGGCCAAATTATATGATTCTCTCAATGCTATGGATCTTTCATTGATGCCGTGTCTTTCATACCTTGAACGACACATACTCCAGTCAACTGAGACAAAAGATCTCTTTGTGGAAAA